TAAGAACGTTGAGATAGCTCATAATGCTTGGAAGAAGTTGGAGGAATCATATGAGGGCACTTAAGCGGTGAATTGTGCCAAGACATATATTCTCAAGGAGAAGTTTGCTAGCTTTAAGATGAAGGAAGATGAGAATGTGCCAGAGATGTTTCATAGGCTTCAAGTGCTAGTTAATGACCTGAAGGCACTTGGTGAGGAGGTGAAGGACAATGACTTCTCTCACAAATTTTTGAGATATCTACATCCAAGATTTGGCATGTTGGTCACTTTGCTTGCGAGGAGTGGTTTGGACACCATGGCCCAAACCAAGTATTGGGAGATGTGACGACCGATAACACCTACCGTGAGAATGATGATGGAGTTGAGAAGAAGGATGAGAAGAAGAATAACGTGGCCTTCAAAGCCACATCATCATCCAAGAGCAAGGGCAAAGCAAAGCAAGATGCATCAACTGAAGATGAAGACTCAAGTGCTTGTGATGATGAAGATATGGACATGGCTCTCTTTATGAAGAGATTTGGTAAGTTCATGATGCATCAAGTGAAGAAGAAGAGTGAGGGCGTGTGTGTGAGAGAGAGTGTGAGAGGAGAGAGTGTTAGCATGGGTTTGGATGATGGGTTGGAATGGGTCGGAGTGGGTTGGACCCAGAATCTAGAGTGTTTGGTTTGGGGTTCAACAAGATTGGAACCAACCTACTAGGAAATATACCCCTTATATCCAGGTTGTATATGCTCCTTAAAATCTGGTGGATGGGGGCGAAGTTGCGGCTTGGTGTTATGGGCAGCGTGAGCAGTAGGCAAGCGGACGCGAGTAGCGGCGGCGGCGCGAGCAACTAGGCCCGAGGAGCGGCTGCAAGCAGGCGACGATGGACCAATGACTATAGTGGCGGCGCTTGAGACAAGCAATGAGATGGAGGTCCGAGCAATGACGACAAAGCAAATTTGACGACGACAAATGAAGCGAGGCGCACGCGCAGCAGGTGTGGTGGTGGTGGGGCGTGGGCGCATCAAGATCGATTAGCGACATGCGAGCAAAAGATCCGTGCGGCCCTACGGGAGTCTGCGGAGAAGAAGACCAAGGGAGGAGAAAAAGAGGCTGATGTCCTTGGGCCCGCATGTCAGGGAGCTGAACCCACCTCACATGTATCTCCAACCAAACAGAAAATTAGGGACAACCTCAACCCCCTAACCAAACACGAACTGGGTTCGAGCCAACAAAAAAAACCAGGACAGAGCCAATCTCTGGTAGTCCCGAAACCAAACACATGCTTAGAGTGTGAGTGCAAATTGATTCTATATTCCAGTGATTTTAATTTTTAGAAATAAATTCCGTGATAACCAAACAGGAATAATGAAAATGAATTGGTTTTGATTTGATTCAATTCAAATCAATTCATTTCCTAGAATATGATTCAGTGAATCCAATTCAATTTCGAGGATCCAAAAGGGCCTTAGAGAATTTCTTGGAGATGCTTTTACTCTACCCAACCTATAAAATAGAAGAAGCCAAAACCAAGAAAATATCGACCCATCTTTACGTCGGGCCGACTTGAACCCGACCCGACTCTACGTTTTGATCAGGTCTAATCAAGACGCTAAATTTGAGATGACCTTTGAGATATTCATGATTCATGTCTCCAGCAAGGAGCCCAGTTTTTGTCGGGCCGTATTCGTTTGTTAGTTGACAAGGCCATGACTCCATGAGGCATTGGGTGGAGTGAATACAAAGTTTCATAGGCACCAGCCCACCGAGAGCGCTGGTGGGCCTAAAACTTGAGAGCACTTGATTGATTCCCACTTATTTCAACGTAAGCTGACAAGGGGAATCGAGTGGGCCGAATCCTAATCCTATTGGCGGCTCGCCCAGTTGCCCAAGCAGGCAAGCACACGCCTTTTCTCAACAACAACAACCAAAAAAAAAAAAAAGGGCAAGCACACGCCTCCTCCTTTATAACCAACCGGCGGTCAAGCCGGAGAAGGACCCAGAAACAGAGAGAGCGCGGTTCTACGTCCGAGTCGTCGCATCGCCTTTTCCCCTCGATTCGCCGGCGGCGCCACCAACCAAGGTGATGCCTCCTCCCTGCTCTTCCCCGATCAATTCCGTGTCTCCGAGCTTAGAATTTCTAGGACCTGATGATGGGCTCCTCCGTCTCTTGATTGATCTGTGGTCAGTCGGATTGTGCGGTCGTAATCTCGCCCCAAATCGAGCAGATCTCGGGGTTGTTTCGAGGAATTTGTGCGTTGGGTTGTTAAGGTGGAGAATGTTTGCTCCAATCGGGTTTCGGTGGTGTCGGGGAGGGTGCCGATGGGTTGGCGTTTCTGGCGGATCGATTTTAACTCCATATGGCCTGATTTTGGGGAACCTCCCTCAAATGAAGCACCACCACCAGGGTTTGTGATTCGGTACAGTTTCATGATTTGATTGCCGTATTTTGGTGTCCTTGATTCCTTGTGCCATTTAGATTAGATGTATGTATATGATAAGGTGTATCTTCTGACTTGTAGACTGATCGACGCCACAACTAAATTGTATTGCAATTTAGGAACTCCTATGCAGATTTTACATCTAGAGTTGTATATTTAATGGTTGGTATTTGTAAATGATATCTTCATCTGCTGAAGTGACTGAGAATTGGGAGTTTGTGCCCACTGAACCAGTTTTAGAAGGTAGCCTTCTCCTGATAGTTGAAACCAGTTAATAAGCAGAGAACACAGAGTTTTGGTTATGGTTATCTGTAGCTATCATATAAGAGGTAGTAGGCAACTAGGCAAGTTGCTTGTATGGTTAAGTCATACTCAGGCTACTTTTTTTTCCGACTCGAGGCTAGCCCCATTTCCATTACTCATATAACGGAGAGACCAGCACCATTTCCATTACTCACATAACAGAAATATAGATGTTTTTTTTTACTAGAACAGCATTCTAGAAAGGGAAAAAGGACCACGATATGCTATCAGCCTCCGCTAAAGTGTTAGTCCGCTTACCACTTTTGGGCACGACCAACGCAGGCTTACAGGCTGCTCTTGACTCCGTACCAACCAAGGCACAACAAGTACAGCAGTAACTTTCCGGTCCCACCATGCACAGCCTTTCCCCATTGCAGATTCTCACAACGCGGGCCTCAACGCGGGCCTGTTTAGTTCCCAAAAAAATTTGCGCAGTACCCATCACATCGAATCTTGCGGCACATGCATGGAGTACTAAATATAGATGGAAAAAAAAAACTAATTGCACAGTTGAGTGAGAAATCGCGAGACGAAACTTTCGAACCTAATTAGTCCATAATTAGACACTAATTATCAAATACAAACGAAATTGCTACAGTAGCCAAAACTCAAAAAAAAAAGCATCTAAACGCGCCAGGCACACGCTGCTTCTGCAGGCTGTTCTGACTCCCCCTGCGAAACCACCAATTGACGTGACATGGACTCTGGGCTGATACGGAAACGGGGCAGCACGCCTGCTAAGCCTGTTGGGGAAGCCCTTAGGCCTTCCTCAACGTTGCTCTTTTAGTTGTAGCCCCAAAGACCATGTAGGATCGGATAAAAAAGGTAAAGTAGATACTTTGCACTTGTCATAGTGGTTTACAGAAGCTATATATACTTGGGGAGAGAAGGTGGTTTATGTTAAAAAAGAAGAGAGAGATGAAATAAAGGTGAGGCATGATGAAAGGAAAAACTTTCTATACAAACCATAAGTAGTAATAGTTTACATTGTATGAATAGTTGTCTCAATCAGCCTGTTCGCTTGTTGGTTTCAGCCAGCCCAAACCAACCAGCCAACAGTGTTTTCCTTTCACAAAAAACCAGCACCAGCCAGCCCAAACCAGCATCAGCCCCAACCAGCGAACAGGCCCAATATTTCCTAGTCTCACTTTATTTGTACTAGAACTACTCAGAATGTTAGCCTCCATTGTTGGTACCCTAGAGGAGATAGCAAGCTAGCAGCTAGTAAATCAAGAACGTCACCTCAGGCTACTGTTTTGGTAAAGTACTTTCAGTTCTGTCATGTACCTTTCTAGCCCATTCAGACCAAGCAAAGAGGAAAAATTTATTGGACCTTTTGAACACTTATCCTAGAATATTTCATTCGATTAGCTCTGAATTGTGTGGTTTCTTTCCCTGCCATTGTTCTGATCTGCCCTTGGTTATGAGCCCAATAGCACCTCCATCAGTTAGGTATGTAAAACATCGTTTGGCTTCAGTGTCCATTAAGCCTATTTATTTCTTACCTCATAATAGTTCTTGATTGTTCATATAGGTATTATCTTGTTAGATTTGTTCTCTTGTGTACAGAGTATTCGAGTCAATATGAGCATCTTGCATTTTGTCGTGAATATTGCTGTGTCCATTTTGCAGATTTGACATATTCAACAACTGAGTGTTGTAGAAATGTGTATGTTGCGATGGATTTGTGGTCACACAAGAATGGACTGAGTTCAGAACGATGATATACGTGATCGCCTAAGGGTAGCATCAATTGAAGAAAAGCTTGTCCAACATCGGTTGAGGTGGTTGGCCATGCCCAAAGAAGACCGCCAGAAGCACCAGTGCATTGTGGAGTCCTAAGCCAATCTAATAATATGAGAGGTAGAGGAAGACCGAAATTGACATGGGGAGAGGCAATAAAAAGATATTTTGAAAGCTTAGGATATACCTAGAGATCTATGTTTGAATAGGAGTACTTGGAAAGCAGCTATTAAAGTGCCTGAACCATGACTTGGGGCTCTTGGTAGGTTTCAACTCTAGCCTACCCCAACTTGCTTGGGACTGAAAGGCTATGTTGTTGTTGTTGTATTGTTGTGCCTGTATCACCCTGGATATTGGACGATTGAGTTGAGTTGTACATTTAATTTAAGTTCTTTTATGCCTTTATAATGACTGCATACTATACTAGTGATTGATTGGAATGGTATTATGGTTTGCAGCTCTTACACCCAGATTGACTAGTCAAACTCAGTGATCTCTACGGGGACCAATCAAACTCAAGAACTAAGTTTCATGTCTGATCTCGACCACCAGCTTCCGTCTGCTTTTGGTATACATCCTTTTTTCCAACATGTTTTGTTATACATTTTCTCGTTGAGATAGTAACAATTTATATTGATTATAATCGTTCTTAAATAGGTTGAACTGAGAAAAAATCACTTTTCGGTTCTTGTTCTCTTAACCCTAAATAACCTGCAGATACAGTCTAGTTGTCTTAAGTTGTGTACTGTGCAGTTCTATTGGTGCACAAGAATCAGTAGTGACCTCCTCCTGAGGTGATAATGATATACATGTCCTTATTGGCAAGGCTATTGGCAAGGCTATGGACATTCATTGGTTATTGGGTTATATTGAGCTTGTTCATTTGGCTTTCTTCCAATGCAATAAGCTTATTTTGACCCATGTGTCCAGGCCTGAGCACAATCTGAAGCCAGAAAGTGATAACTTTGTGTTTTCCTTGTAGATCCGTTTGCAGAGGCAAATGCTGAGGACTCCAGCGCTGGTGCTGGATCAAAGGACTATGTGCACGTGCGAATTCAGCAGCGCAACGGAAGAAAGAGTCTGACAACTGTTCAGGGCCTGAAGAAAGAGTACAGCTACAACAAGATCCTCAAGGATCTCAAAAAAGAGTTCTGCTGCAATGGTACTGTAGTCCAGGATCCAGAGCTAGGCCAGGTACGAAGTAGCACTCAGTACTCACTTCCTTTTATTGGTTTAACTTTAACTTCTCTTATTATCTAAATGTCATATTGGTAATTCATTCATCTGATGTATATTGTAGGTCATTCAACTGCAAGGTGATCAGCGTAAAAATGTTGCTACTTTCCTAGTCCAGGTAAGTTCTATTACACCAGCGCGCATCTTTGTTGTTTTAGTTCATTTTTTTCCCTGACTCTTCATCATATATGTTTTTGTTAGGCTGGAATAATGAAGAAAGATAGCATCAAGATTCACGGGTTTTAGACTGCAACTTTTAAGTGATTGTGCGCGCTATCATATGATACCAAGTATTGAAGTTTCTGAAGCTTGTTAAGCCTTCACAATATCAGCAGTAGTTGTTATTCATCTGAACCTGCGTCACTATTTGATTTGAGAAGACTGGTATTGATGCAAGTTGTCCTTGCAGTATGTTTTGTAAGTGTTACCTGCATGAAAGTATCGTTTGTCTGGAGAACCGTCAACTGATATTGAATAACAAGAGAGATTTATTTTGATCTTTCCCCCAGACTTGAGCTTTCCAATCCGTGTTCTTTTATGATCGCTTCTCATGTGCTTTCTGATCTGTATGTATTTGACCTTCATCTCAAGTTTTATGTTGTGGCCTGGAATCTGTTTATTTTCTTTGGCTAACGTTTTAGCCGGACTAACTGGATGCACTTCTGAACCGAAGCAATCCTTCAGTCCTGTGGTTACGGCAGGACCTCACACCGTTAGCTGAATGCTCGAAGGCACACAATGGAAATGCATAAGTAGATTGATTGGGCAGTGCGTCAAGATTTGCTCAACACCTGCCGCAGGGGATGCAGCTTCATTTCTTGCGCACTCAGCTAACCACCTAAGCCTTACAAGGAAGGCCATTTCTCTTCTATTTTACTACTTTAGCATCAGACTTGACAAAGAGCAAGCTGACGTTTGTTGGGAACAAACACAGACCATGTCCAATATGCACGCAGCAGTCTAGATAGATAAGTATCAGCGATGCTGTTAACTCGTGGCTAAGCAGTTCCTGCGCTGCCGCCCTCCGCATTCTGGCCGCACCTGAGGTGTATCTCGTAGCCGCAGGCGATGCACTGGTACGCCCAGCCGAGCCCCTGCTCCTCGCACTCGCAGCAGATGTAGGGTCCTCCCCCGGACTTCTCCGACACGATGCTGAGCTCGTGGCGGTGGCCCCGGTGGCGCAGCGACTGCGGGTACTCCTTGGCCGCCTCGTCCTCCGCCTCCTGCAGCAGCCTGATGTGCGCGTCCGTGAACGGGAACGCCATGTCGAAGTAGAGGTTCACCAGGTTGCGGCCGTCCCGCGTCACCGTCTTGCCGTCGGGCCCGACCACCACCAGCGTCGGGATCTCCCGCACGTCGAAGTACCTCGCCAGCGCGCGCGACGGCACGCCGTCGTAGGGGAGCGCGAGCCACGGCATGTCGCTGCAGGAGCGCAGGTACCCGTCCTCCTCCCTGTCCATGGGGACGTACACGATCTCGAAGTCCTCCGCGTTGACCCTGAGGCTGCTGTAGATGGCCGCCAGCTTCGTGGTGAACTTGATGCACGGCGCGCAATGGTTAGCGGAGAAGTAGAGCCCCACCGTCTTCCCCACCAGGCTCGAGATCGGGACCTGCAGCCCTTAGCCGCGGTGAGCTATAGGCCAACAACCGGATAGTCGACGTACGTACGGGTGGATCGACGGCACACAACAATGCCCGTCCAAGCTAACTAGCTCATGGCACGCTCTAGCTAGCTAGCTTGCGTTCGAGAACACGTTACCTGTCCATTGCCACCGTTCAAGTACTCTTTCCCGTTGATGGAGAAGAGCTTCTCCAGCGTCTGGGACGCGTACTTGCGCTGGTCATCTGCCTCCAGCTCCGCCACCCTCGCGGCCGTGAACGGGAACGCCCGCTCGCCGTAGCGGTGCACGAGGTCGGCGGCGTCCGGGTGAACAACCGCGCCGTCCGGAGCGAGCACCACCAGGCGTGGGATGCCCTCCACCTGGAACCTCTCGCTGAGGCGCTTCTTGCAGCGGAGGTCGCCGAAAGGCACGGCGGGCCACGGCATGGTTCGGTGGAACCGCTCGAACGACGGCCGGTCCTCGTCGCACGACACCAGCACGACCTCGAAGCCGGCGCCGCGCTCCTTGAGCTGCTCGTAGGCCGCGCCCAGCACCGGGGTGAAAGCCTCGCATTTCGGGTACCAGTTCGCCGCGAAGTAGAGGCCGATGATCTTGCCGTCGATCTCTGCAAACTGAACCTGCCAGCAGGAAGACGACACCTTCGGTGTTTTGATCATGATAATTCACATGAGCAACAGAGAAGTGGAAACATGGATTTCGTCATTTCGAAAAGAAAATGCTCCTATAAAGAATGACTGCAATACCATGTGTTACGATTAAGTAAGCTCAATCTGCACAGTGCGATTCTGATTCTTGTCGTACGTAGGAACAGAATGAACTGAACGGTTCTAAAAGCAAAAGTACAACACAAATAATGGTGCATATATTCTGGTTCGATTTCACGTACAGGTTATAAAGGGAGGACGTACGTGGAAGTTTAGAGAGGTCCCGACATGAGCACGTGTGATGTTGTTAGAGGCGAGATTTAAAAAAATATGATCGATTTTTTCCGCTGAACAAAGAAAGATGAGTTTGGACGCGCATATATTACGCGTGGCACAATTCTGATGAAACTGTACAGGCTCACATCTTTAGCTGAACAAAGATGAGCTTGTACGCAATAATGATGCCACACTTCTAGGTAAAGGCTCACATCAGTACGTGTTACATTTAGCTTTAAGATCCCTGTTCCCAAACCATACTAAAGTAGAATTTTATATAAAGCTCAACCACCAAGAGTCTGATAAGTCTATAGGAGACCAAACTTTAAACAGTGTTAAACTTTAAATCTGAAGCCCTCGAAAGCAATATCTTGATTAACTAGGATCCGTTGTCTAACTAAGTTTATACTTGCATGCCACACAAAATATGGCTATTAGCCTATTAGCATGTTTTTTTTTGTGTGTTATCGATCTCCTATTAGATGTATCTTAACTTTTATTTGCATGTGCCAAATCCTTTCTATGAAGCAAGGTTGCACACGTACACATGATTTCAACATACCAAAAGAGGAGCGAGAAATCTGAAAACATACTGCTCGCTTCACATATACCAAACCTTCCTAACTTAGGTGTGTTTTAGATCAAACGTACGAGTAAAAGAAACTGAAGAAGAAGAACAGTGATGAACCTTACTATATCGATCTACTCAAAAGTCAAATCACTACTAGCAGAAAACGTGGGGGGGCTAGAGGGACAGACAACCGAAGCAGATGTAGAACAAACATGAGCTGAAACTGAACGAGATTTTACCTCGTTCCCGGAGGGAGCGACGAGCGAGCCCATGGTGAGCACGGAGCGTATGCCACCTTCCCCCACCTCCGGCGCGTCCCCCGGATCTCCAGCCATGTTCAGTCGTGCCATTGTCAGGCCCTGTGCGTGCGTGATGTCCGGACAACAGCAACTGGGGGCTTCAAGCTTGGAGACAGACAGGCAATAAGCAAAGCTGAGGCTTCCTGCGAACCCTCTAGCCGATGCCTGATGCTGCCGTGCACTCTGCTGCCGCCTGCTGCGCGCAGTCCGCTAGACTGGAACAGGGCAACACGCGCCCTCGCCCGGCGCCACAGATAAATGGCCAATGCACTGCAGCCCTTTGGCGTGGCCTTTTTACAGGGGCGTGCCCGTCACTTCGGCGTGCAGGGGCAGCCGTGCGGCCCATCTCGTCCGTCGCTGTAGGCGCCGGTCACGGCCAACCGCATCGGTGCCTTTCTTCAAACGTGTTGGCACAGCTCCGGAGCGAGGAGGCAGCCTGGCATGGGAGCAGGTGTCGGGCGGAGAGCAGCACTGCGGCCTGCGGGCACCCACCTTTTCGTCATGCGGGTCGCGGGAGCTGTGCACTGTGCGGGCGGAGGCGGACGGGTCCGCGGTCTCCGTGCGGTGGGTGGAAAACGACGGCACGGGGAGTGCGCCGTGCGGCTCCCACTCCAATCGATCGCCCGCGGCGCGACGGACCGGGACCTGGGGGGGGCCTAGGAGAGGCTAGGACCAGGAGGACCCGGGGTTTCTTTGCGGCCTGGCCAACAACGTGTGCTGCCGCCGTGGCGCGACAGGCTCGTTCCGTCGTTCGTTGATTAGCTTCTCGTCTCGGCTCTCGCGGCGTGGCGTGGACGCGGCGGGGCAGGCAAGGCAACTGGCTTGGCCTGTGCGTGTCCATCACTGTCTCGCGTGTGGTGTGGTGGTGACTGGTGAGGCAGACTGAGTGGTGGTTTAGTTGGCGAAATTTTTTAGAAATGGTACCGTAGCATTTTTGTTGTTATTTAATAATTATTGTCCAATCATAGTCTAATTAGACTTAAAAGATTCGTCTCGTGAATTTCGTCTAAACTGTGTAATTAGTTTTATTTTTTATTTATATTTAGTGCTTCATACATGCGTCTAAAGATTCGATGTAACGGAGAATCTTGAAAAATTTTGCAAAATTTTAGGAACAGTCTATGAGGCTGAGGCTGAACTGGTCCGTCGAGGGCGGAAACCAGAGGATGGGTGCAAGATCATCGTCGAGCAGCCTGTTCGGTTGGCTGGTTCGTTTCGTTGCTGATTCGTAAAAAAATACTGCTGACTGATTTGTATAAGAGAAATATTATTTCGACTAAAAATTTACCATCATTTACGATAAGCCATAGTCAAACAAACAGAAACAGAGGTTGGCAAGATTCTCGGACCACTCAGCCGGTGGGGAATCAAAAGTATGCGTGCCAGGCGCCAGCAGGCAGCAGCGTAGGGGTTTAGGGGTCGTGTCGTACTCGTACCATCCCCGTGTGTGACCGCGTGGGCGGGTACGCGTGCATACGTGACGCGTGAGCCGTGCCGAGGAAATTATAAGTGTCCTTGGTTTTCTTTTCTTTTCTTTTTTGTGTATGTGGATAGAAAAATGAACGAACGGCGCGGGCCTTCCCGGGCCTGCTTGTTCGCCCCGATCAAGGACGATGATGTGCGTGTCTTTGACAAGCAGCAGCAGCAGCAGCTGAAAAACATCTAGCTTGGATGATTATTTGAAAAGAAATCAGCGGTAGTCGCGAATGAGATAGCCTGTTTAATTGGTACGTACTAACTTTGCCATAACTAATATTAGTAGAGTGTGGCTGCCATCAATAATAAATATAAAATGGCCATCACATTTTTTTGACAAACTTTGACAACAAGTTAAATCAATGACACGTGAAGCCATATGGATAAGAAAGTTTGATAAGCTACGGTTACGATATAAAAACAGAACGCGTGTGCCTGAAAACTCATGGCAAGATTTGACATCTATCTATCCAATCAAACATGAGAGTTCACAAGTTCTGCTAGGCTGCTACAACGCCCAACACGGTGCATGATTGGTGCCCGTTTAGGATTAGATGCAGTTGCTGCTTCGTTGCATACGAAGCAATGAGACACCGCTAATCTCATGGACTATTTTTGCCGTCTCTGCTGTCTTGGTGCACGTTGCTCAACCGTGTCTTGCACAAGAGACACCAGAGAGACAGTGTCTCTGTTCGCTCTGGTTTTTCTTCTTCTTTCTCAGATCATTTGGTTGGATATATGCACGCATGCTCTCACACCTGTCATTCCTTATATGCCTTCAAAAAGATCCACTCCAACCCCATATACCAACACGGTCTCTTTCAAAAAATAAATTCCCATCCCAACACGTCGACGGACGACGGTACGGTTAACCAGTTCAACCTGCAGTTCAAGAACTGCTTGTGGATGGATAAAACTAGGAACTCCAATCAACCAGGTGGCGCTCCTACTCCCCACACCTGTCGTCTACACACAGGACGAGCGCACACGATGAATGAACTCTTGTCGCCGAAGCAACCACCGCAAGACGTGACCTCACCGGCCCCGCCAACCTCGAGGGGCACGTGGTACCCGTCCGTCGCGCAGCCACAGCTCAGCGGCTGTCTAGAGCTACAGTACAAAGAAAGCGGCGAACCGCCGGACCTGAACACCTACCCGCGGATCAGCAGCCTCATCCTGACGCGTCAGGTCGTCTTTGAATGCCTGCGCGTCCGCCGGCCGGGCCGTGACACGTACCACCACAGGGGCTCTGGTTGGCAGCCGTCGCTGTATAGTATGGGCACGGCGCCGGCCGCCGGGCAGCTGGGCCAGGGGCACAACGCACAGGGGGTGAGGGTCGGAGCGTCTGATGTGCTCTCGCCGCTCGTGTCGTGACGGGGCCCAGCCCCTGCCCCTGCGCCTGCGCGGCTGCGCCGGGACCCGGGGACCGCCCGTCGTGCCAAGTGTGGCGCGTGTTTCTCTTTTCTCCGCCCTGCTTTTCCGGACGAGAGGCCGAGACAGGTGTGTGGTGCGTGGTCGGCTAGCTGGGCGTGGGGATGGTGAGATGAACTGATGCGATGCGATGCGATGCGATGCGATGCGTGCTGATCTGCTTCTGCTTGCGTCCGCGGATGGTCCACGACCCGCGAGGACATCCGGGGAGATGGGCATTTGCAACTGGACAATGCCGGGGGAGCGTGGACGGACCCGGACCTCTCGCAAAGGCGTATATGCCCTCTGTGGCTCGGTGCTATGACTGTGACTCTGGTGAGAGGTATTGATTTTGGGCTATTGGCTCTTGACAGGTGGAGCACTTCAGTAGGCGCCTGCTTTTCATCAGTCAACTGTTCAAAACATGTTTGTTAGACCTAATTTTTTACAATTTGACTCTTTTTTTAAGAAAATTTACGTTTGGCTCCTGAAAGACTTAAACTCATATTTGGATCATAGGGGTCGGCGCCAGGACTCATGGCGCCGAGCTAACACGTCTCGGCACCACAAATCTTAGCTCCGAGGTGCCTGACCGTGCACAGTAGGGCATCCCTAGGTGGCGTTCACGTGTCCGGTAGCTCGGCGCTAGAATACATGGCGCCGAAGTCGGCGCCACAGATCTTGCGCCATGTATTCTGGCGCCGAGCATGGATTCAAAACCCACGGCCGCAGCTGACTCTCTCTGAATTCTGCTCTCTACCTCTCCTCACCGCCCGCCCGCCGTCGCCGTGCGTGTGCAGTGCCGCCGTCGCCGCCAAGCTCCTCCTTCAAGCAGCAGCAGGCCACCGCCGCATCATCCAGGCCAGCACAGTGCGCCTCCCTCGCTCCACCATCCACTCCATCTGAGGTGCCGCCGCAGAGACTCCTCCACCGCAGCAGGCCACCGAAGTGTAGGCTCAAACACAAAATTGACACACACCCAATACCTCTGCCTATACGTGTCCTCTTTATCGGACAAGGCTACCTTGCAAGGATCGTCGCAAAAGCACATGGGCACTAGAACACCACTAGGCAGAGGCAACGGGTCGAAGGCATTTTCGATCATCCGGCCATAATTACAATTGAATCAAATTTGTTCTAAGAATCGAAAGCAATGAACCTTAAACCCTAAACCTAGGGTTTTTCTATTTGTTGCATATAAATGAAAACATAATATAACACGATGATAAAAGATTACCTTGGCTTACTAGCTTTACCACGCATTGACATCCTACCGTTACATAATACAAAAAATAAAAAATGATTTCAATCATTAGGTAATAACGTATCTAGGGTTACAAAATAGACGTAATATATAACAAATCAATGCGTAAAATTTGATAAAGGGAGAGAGGATACCTTGCTCGCGAAGATGTATGGATCAAATCAAAGTATCCGATGTCAAATTCGTCGATTCAAGAGATTGGGTGGATTAGGGAGAGGAAGAAACCGAGAGGGGGAGGAAGAAATGAGAGCAGCGTCGACAAGGGAAACTTGGCTTCGGGTTTTGAATGAATGCTCGGTTCGTCCAAGATACCTCCCATAGGATGCCCCATCGTACGCATCGTACACCTCGAGCCAAAATTTGTGGCACCGAGACGTGTTAGCTCGTAGAACAACACCAAAGTCCAAAGATAAATTTAACTTTTTAAGAGACCAAACATAAATTTTCTTTAAAAAAAAAGACCCAATTTTCTTCGGCCGGGCTCCGCCAGGCTCCGGCTCTCACACTGTGGAGGTACTGTGGCGGAGCCCGGCGAAATGGGCAGCTCCCGTGGCTCATCAGGATAGACAGGCGGAGCCGGAGCCATTTGTACCAAGGCTACAGGGATGCACAGTGCGCTACAGGTCCTGGGAGGAGGAGCCGGAGCCATGATGAGCGGCACCAAACGGGCAGGTGAGCTCAGAGTACCAACAAATTTTCATGACGATCGCTTCCAGGTCCTTCTAGAGCGTTTTTTCCCCACAGTGCGCACCATATTCTTCTTCCTTTCGTGTGCGCCATTAGCCCATTATATTCCTATAAGCAGTACTAATGCGCTTCAGTTCCTAGTCTGCTTTCTAACTTTTCATCAGATGCCCAAGCCGCGCAAGCAGCCGTTTCGCAGCAGAAATGCCCTGGCTCTGGTGAATGCAGTTCCCACTTTCCATGGACGCCCGTAGCCGTAGGCCGCGTAGACCGTAGAACAACACCAGTCACCGGTGTTGTGTTCGTTCTTTCAAACTTGTTCTGCAGGTGGAGTGCCGGCAAGATTTTTTCTCTGTACCGCATCACCAGTAGTCATACCAGCACGGTTGTAGCGATAAACCATATCAGTACCTTTTGCAAATGTGGGTGAACGCACAGGGCAAACACAATAGGGTATAGTGTAGCAGAGTATATGACATTGACACTACTTTGCACTTTCGTTGGTAGGAAGGACTCATTTTTGGGTACTAGGCTACTAGCTCTTTCAAGACATCAGTAATTCAGTATCTATTTTCTACTCCTTTCACCACAGGAAGTAAGAACAACACGGACCTTAACCAGGAAACAAATTTAGGGCCCAGACTTAGCCCACAAGACATCGGTTAGTGTGGTCGAATGATTTCATTGCTAATTTGACTAAAATATTTCTACACAGGACAGGCGTGATTACAACGGGGCACTAGGCTAACAATTTCATTAGGGAAGCAGGTGGGCCGTCAGGCATCAATTGAGTACGGTCAAATATAACACCCACTGCTGCGGCAATTCCTCTTGCGGGGGCGGGGGCGCTGCCTGCTCCAGGCCTCCAGCTGAAGAAGCCCCACTTGCAGACGCATCATGATATCTTTCTTTCCTTCAAGAATGTGACCGGCTGCCCATGCTATATCTTCTGCTTCAATGCTTGGCGCAGCTGGACCTTACTGTTGTCAATCCTTGCCTCCAAAATCTTGGACTTCAAGCTGTGCTTCTGCACTCCTCGGGGCCAGTCGATGCATCCTTTTATAGCTCGAACAATGTCCGGGTTTAGCAGGTCCGGCCTCCATTGCCCTGTGATGTGCGGACTGTCACAAACCTCACTGTTCTTCAGGTCAGGAGATTCAGTGACATTTGACATCCTGCCATTTGATGATCTACCATTGAGTGTATTGGATCCCATTTTCTTTTGGTCGACAGTGTTTGATGATCTCCATAGTCCGACGAATGACCTTTTACTCCGAGACCTGCCTGCTGTTGTTGAACAAACTTCACTGATCTCACTATGTGCCTGATCATTGTCACAGTTTTCATCCCAATCAGTTCCACTCACGGAAGCATCGTTTTCTCCACAGAAGCCATTTACAGACGGTTCACTTCCTCCTGGTGAATTACTACACCCATTCTCCTCAACTTCGCTTACAGTTTCCCATCCACTATCATCTTCTGCCGCCTCATTTTGGGTGCGAGGCTGATTGCAATATCTGCTTGGCTGATTCTCCAAGAACATGTCTGTTTCAAGACTAGCTGTATGGGCTCTTGATGCACGACTCTTGGGCCTATTTCCGTTACATTGCACAATCACCTTCTCAGCAGTATCTTCTCTTTGCTTGAGTTCTTCGAATACAGCAAAAATGTCTTCTGAAGGAGGAGGGGGCTTGTAAGAGAACTCCTTGATACCATTTATCACCGAAGAGCAGATTGCTTCTTTGAGCCTCTCTGCTTCCCTTACTGTTCCTTTTTCTATATTACAGCCTGGTTGGGAACGAAGGAAATCCTCAAGTTCATACTGAAGATTGCTCAGCTGGGAATACTTATTCTCAAGTGTCAGCTTTGCATCAACCAGCTTCATTTGTACCCTCTCTTCACGCCAAACCTCAGCCATCTGGAGCATCTTCTTCTCTTCCTCCAATTCATCTTTGATCTTCATCGATTCACTTCTCATAGCCTCAACCTCAGCTTTGTCTTCTGCGATCTCCTTCGCTAATTCATCACAAACCTCTTCCATGAGCACCCGTGCCTTCCTCTCCTTCTCATAATCTTGCAAATAACGCTTTGCAGCAAACTTCATCTCAGATAGATCATTGTGCAGTTTGGAATTCAGCGTTTCTGCCCGCTGTCGCTGTTTCCTCTCCCGGTTCAGTTCTTCCTTAACAGCATCTAAGATGTGGTGAAACTTATCATGTTCCCTGCTCTTCAAAGAAGCCTTTTCCTCTGCAATATTCTTCGCCAAGTGATCAAGCTGCTTCTTTGTAGATCGACACTCTGCTTCAAGCTCATGAATCCGGTCCTGAGCCACCATAAGCTCCTCCCTCAGTGAATAGATTTCTCCACCAGCATCCCTCTGATTGTGTTCAATGTAATCATAATCTGCACCCTGGGAAGCTTTCATGAATTGATGGTTCCACTTTGTTGCCATTTCTGTTTCTATTTGACGCACTGCAGAATGAGCTTCCATCTATTTGCAGGAAACATAATGTGTCAGATCAGATAGGACTTGGTAATAGAGATGCTACAATGACTGTTCCTTCAGAACATGTGAAACATAAGTAGTGTACCTCATGTGGGGCATTGCTAACAGTCCTATTCCCTGTCCTGCCCTGGATAACTGCTTTATATTGCTGACAATGGTCAGGCGTGTGTGGGCGCTTTGAACTGGACTGCAGTTTCCAGTGCATGAATTGTTAGCTGAACAGTTACATCAAGAAAAAGGAAAAATCTACTTATTATGGTAATGCATGTGAAATGGGGTAATACGACATAGAGAAGTAATCAGCTGAAGCATTGCTTCCTAATTAATATTGACGCCCTCGTTAAACTTTTCTTTAACAAGGGAGACTACCTTCATCAAACAATTAGAATGGCAATTGACAAAGGCTATCTAGGGACCACTGGGCCACAATACCTATACGCCTACACTCAAACAAGACTACAAGTCTACAAGAATACTTATATCATGCCACAGATCTAAAAGTCAAATCAATAACCTGAACAAAAAAATAGGTAAAATGGACCGAAACGAAAACTGAATTAACTAGATCTAGCATGGGACAAAATAGCACAACATTGTCGTTTTAATAACAGAAAATGGACTCGTTATTTTAAAAGTGTCAGCTAGATATCGACATCTATAAGTGATTCCAATGCGCAAGGTATCCAAGTCTGCAGAGCAACAAGATGGGGGAAAAAAGCAGTATGCAGTTTGGAAAGTTTGCTCGATGTGGATGACAGGATGAGTGTCCCAAAACCTGACCTATAAGGATGTTCCATAGCACCGGTTTCATAAAAGACTCAAAGAATCATCCCTCCAACCATTGTGCTTAGAGATGGTGTAACTCTATGAATTATGTCAAACATAATGTTTCAGCACAACTTGACCTTATAATCATGAAATCGCTTATCATGGAAGCACAAACATTAGCATTTTTCTCCAAGACTGAGCAAAACACCAACACTGCACACACAATAAAGGTTTCACCACCATTGGAAAGCCATAATGCTAGTTTAACCGAAGTAGTGAGGACGTGAGGTACTGCACTGGTACTCTGGAGTATGCCTAAACAGATCGACATGAGTCTGCAAAATCTATGCAGCTTCGATAAGACAAGCAGCGCGTGTATGGCCGGCACAGTCAATCCCCAACAATTCGATACCGACATTTCTCCAAAACTCCAAGAAATGATGAGCTATGTGCCAAAACTGCCAGTTGTGTGCACCACCGACACGGCGACACCAGCTGCTACGCTACCAAAGTAGCGCCATCTACAACCCTAGAACAAAACAATCTCGACGCACAAGCACATCACTGTCAGAGATCTCGCGGCATGCATGCTCACCTGAGCCCTACTCCGTCGCGCCGTCCCAGTCCCACGCCCCGGCGGCGGCGCCTGCGGCGGCTGCATTCGCCACAGCGCCGCGGCGATCTCCCGCACCGATAGGGCAGCAGCGCCCGCGCCGGGACGGGAGGCAGAGCGAGCGCCCGCGCCCAGGGGCCAGCGGACCGGCGGGGTGTCCGGAGGAGGGTTTGGCGGCGGCGGGGCGGGCCCCCGGCGGACGGCCGCGAGAGAGGGGCTCTGGACGCGGACCCTGCGGGCGCGGCGGCGGGACGCGGACCCGGGCCGCGGGGGCGTGGCTGCTGCCGCCCGCGGCTCGGGGCTCGCCGGAGGCGGCAGGCGGCGGGCGCGGCGGCTGCCGGGGCGCGCCATGGACGGACGGTCGGTGGTGGTCGCGGGGGGTCAGTGGCACTCGGCGTGTGCAGCGCGGGTGTGGGGTGGTGGGGTGTGGTGGGGCGTGTGAGATCTGGGGGTATCCGACGCCGCTGATGGTATCGTGGCTGTGCGACACTGCGAGTGCCGCCTGTGGCCTGCAAATGGTAGCCCCGTCGTAGCCGAGATCCGAGGACGCTTGACAACATGGAAAAGCGGATCGTGTCGGCTTCACTTACACTCTTGCTATCACAACACAACGTGAAGTTCTCAAACCACAGAAACTCCATTCGAGATCTGCACGCCAGCCAGTTCTAATTTTATCGAGTTACTGTGGCATGTGTTCATTTGAAAGTTCGAACCGGCGTGCCGTGAGCTCGCTAGTCACGGGCTAGCTCACCGGTCTATTCCTAGTGGATTCAAGAAGCCGGCATACGTGCGGTACCTCAAAACGGCCACTGCTGATTCATGCACGTCTTTTCCTAACGATCACCAGAATTTCCTACCCATCACAAGCACGGTACAGGAACTTTAGCATAATCTGATGCATCTGGAGCGCGGCGCGCGTAACACATAATCGAAGAGCCAGCACCCAGCAGTAATCATCAAAGCAACTTCCATCATGGCAGAAAAGCGACTTCAGAAAGGCGAACACCTGTGATTATCGTCCGGCCGGCGCTGTTCATCCACGGCACCGGCACGGAAGTGTGCCGTGCGCTCTTTTCACGAGCGTAACGCAAAGGGTTGCGTCAAATTGATGGGTGGACGATGCGCGCAGCTTGCCTGTACAACAAACAATCGACCGACTGAAACGGGTGCCATGCCTTTGAGTCGCATCAAACATGATGATAGTCCTGCTTTGGAATCTCATTGTGGATGTTCGCTGAAGCACATGGATACTATAGCACCCCCTGTTTATTTCGTACTTGCAAGGTTCATTTTCTTTTTTGAGCATGAAGGTTGCAAGCTGATCGATAGATAGGGTCATGAGCCTATAGATAGACAGGCCCGGCCTTGTAACACGTTTTTTTAAGCTACCAGAAGGAGATCTGCCCGGCCTTGTAACACATTACCGTCCTGGGCCTTGTTGGCTCCCCTAGTGAGCCCCCAGAGTAGAAGAACCAGTGTCAACCAGTGTCTCGGAGGCCAACCGGAGCACACGTCTGAAGGCGCATGATCCGGCCGGTGATCAGAGGGAGGATCTGAATCTGACCAAGCAAGGCAACGGGAGATTCCACTGCCGCCACGTCGTTCGCACAAGCAAAAAGGTGAATCGGTATTCCGTTCTCATCACATTTCTTTCCTCCATCTTGACACGCTTGCGAAGTGTTCAACACTCGAGATTTCGAGGCTGGCTTCTGTGTCTTGTCCAACAACAAAAAAAATTAAGCAGGTTTGTCCGAGACCAAGATTTCGGTTAGGTTACCCATGCACATCCCCTGACCTGCCTGCAGCTCAGGGACCCGGGCAACGACAACGAGTTGCCTCCTGCCATCCGAGGAATTCTGAGCTCTCATGTGAGGGTAGAGTGGCGACGGCTTCTTTATTTCGTGCTGGTGGAAGCTGTGGACGTCTTGTGGAGTTTGCGATCATGAATCCCGTTTTTATCAAGCATTAAGCAGTAATGCATTTTTTTAATAGAGGCGACGGTTTCAGTAATGGTATGCAACTATCAGATTGAACACCTGAGCCCACACGTGCGCCCGATGTGCTGAAGAGCAATTTCTTTCCTTGAAAATTTTTATTGACTGCGACCTCCTCTTGCAAGCGCTGCCAAAATTGTCACGCAAATACAGGAATGCAGAGAGAAACATGATAAACGCTAAAACCGTGCTCGTGGAATACCGAAACTGGAACTCCGACGATTTTCTACTCACGTGTGCTGGGGCTGTGGGGCTGGACAAAATAAGGTTCTCTGTCTTCGACGGGAAAGTTTGGCCTGATTGCCTGAAGATGGAGACGCATCTGACAGTCTGACGCCGTTCTTACACAGAAAACTACTACAATATCACGAAATCCAGGCATGGCCTTGTTTAGATTGCAAGTTTTTTTACTCTCTCTCCATCACATCAAATCAAATCTTTTGACACATGCATAGAGTATTAAATGTAGATAAAAAAATAACTAATTATACAGTTTGATTGTAAATTACGAGACGAATCTTTTGAGCCTAGTTAGGCCATGATTGGACAATAATTGTCAAATACAGACGAAAGTGCTACAGTGCCAAATACTGATTCCTAACCCCAATCTAAACAAAGCCCATGTTTATATGGGACAAGCTGACAAGTTAACACTTGGCTGAATTCAAAACTAAAAAGAAAAGAAATAAAGAAAGCCGAGGGCACCATTTTCTAGGGAAGAACTGGATTTTGAGTTTACTGAGTTAGTCCAACCTAATCCTGCGCCGAAGAGATCCACCAGCAAGGATACATTTTAGAGTTCAATTCGGGACAACGGCTACAAACACGAGCTTCACCAAACTGTTTAGGTAACAGTTGCTTATTCTACTGCATTCAGAAGCATGCTTCTTTGCTTCGTTTTGTTTGTATTTTTTGTAGCTGGTCTTTGTCACGACCACCACAGAACGAAGCAGGTGCAAACCCTTTTTTTTTTCTAGGCCCTGTTCGGCTTGCTGAAATTTGGCTGAAAACACTGTTCTGGCTGAATTGTTGTGAGAAAAAAATACTGTTCCGGCCAAAAAAAACAAGCTTAATAGTACGGATTATAAGGTAAGTCGAACGGGGCCTACCTAAAAGGTGCAAGCTTTGTTCAGTTTCAATGTATGTATCTTTTTTACTTGTTATTTTTAAAAGAGTTAAATGCACCAGCGGCCCCCGAACTTGTAGACGTGTGTCACGTAGGTCTATGAACTTGAAAAATGTATTTTTGGGTCACTAAACTTGTTAAGTGGTGCACCGCAGGCCCATACCAGCCACGTGGACATTTTTTTGCTGACGTGGTATGCTAGTATGACATATAATTTTCATTTAACCCCTCACATCTATTTTTCTCATTAAAAAAATAGACCCAGCGCCCACAGCTATAGCAAAAAAATAGACCCCAGCGCCATTCATGGGGCGCCTCCCGCCCGGTGTCTTGGTGGCACTGCCTCCCAGAAGCCCGACGGAGCAGCGGCCATGCGCCACGAGTCCTCGCCAACAACGCCAACGAACAACGCTTGCCGAGGCCTCGGCCCGCCGCCCACTGCCAGAGCTCGTCGGGCCATGAGGGGCGCCACCGTGCGTTCAAGCTCACGTCTGCGACGCCACGCGTGGGGTGGCGGTCCAGCCAGGCTCGCCGGGCTTTCTTGCGCCGTGGAGTTAACGTTAAATCGCTATCGTCTCGCGCGTCGCGAGACCGGCGGCAGGCAGTCGGCGGCCCGCAGCCGCCCATCGTCGTCCACGAGGCCGCGCGCTGCGACCCACATGGCGATACAACAAGTTGGCGAAGCGCGAGCTTGACGGTTGGCGCGGCGAACCCGGCGCCAGGGCACCCTCCTCCGGCACGAGCGCGCCATGGACCTGAAGTCCTGCCCCACTCCCACCTTGCTGTAGCTGTACTCCACCGGTGGCGCGCCCGCGCCGCCGACGAACCGAACGGCACGAACTCCTCCGCTCTCCCACGCCATGGGGTCCCGCCCGATGGCCCGCGTTGATCACCACCAGCGTGCGCGCGCAAGCGCGTGACTCAACAACTCTCCGTCCTCTCCGTCATCTCACGCGGGATCGGGGGCGGCGGCGCGCGCGACCTCATCGTCTCGTTGATCACGGTCGTTGATCACCGAGGTCGTCGGCCGCCGATTCGCTGGCGCGCGCTAGCGCGCGCGCGATCGCGGCGCTCGGTTCGCGAGCGCGCAAACGCATGCGGGCGCGCTCGCTAGGCGCGGCTCGCTAAGCGCGCGATAAGTCGCCCTCGGCCTCGCCCCTCGCGATTCACAATGGTGATCGGGGGCGACGACGCGGCCGGTGCGACTCATCTACTTCTTTTCCTTATACCTTGCGTCTGCGACGCGACGCGACGATAATGATCCGAACGCTACGCGCCAACTCCATAGCGCAGAGCCCGGTGAGCTGGGCCGACTGCCACCGCCACCTGCCACGCGGCGTCGCGTCGTGAGCTTCGACGACATGGCGCCCCTCATGGACGAGCGCAGCTCATGAGCTGGGGCTGTTGGCTGAGGCCTGGGCTCGCGCCATTCCTCCGTAATGCTCGCTGCGCGAGGACTCATGGCTGCCTCTCCCGCCGGGCTTCTTCTGGATCATGCGCCACCAAAGACAAACTCCGGGCTCGTGGTGCCTGGCGCGCAGGTGCCGTCCCTCGCCACCCCTTCCGTGGGCGTGTTCGCCAAGCCGACGCAGCCACGACCATCATAACATTCCCTCGCCTTTCGCGCTTGCTCGCTCAAGCGGAGGTGGGCGCTGGGTCTATTTTTTATGAGAAAAATAGATTTGAGGGTTAAATGAAAATTATATGTCATACTAGCATGCCACGTCAGCAAAAAAAAAAAATGTTCACGTGGTTGGTATGGGCCTGCGGTGCACCACTTAACAAGTTTAGTGATCTAGAAATGCATTTCCCAAGTTTATGGACCTATGTGATATACGCCTACAAGTTCGAGGACCGCTGGTGCATTTAACTTTTTTTAAAAGACTTTTCTGAATGTGTGGTCACCAAAACGAGGCTACTCCGATCCTACGCTGTAAAGCCGAATTCCGATGCCACATTTGTGAAACTGAAAAGGATGCTTAGCTTAATTTACGTAGACCAACTGCAAGAGTGATGCCAGCAACGACGCTGGAATCCTAAGCGCGTATCACAATTGATTCATGCTACCCTTAACAATTTATACGCTAGTTATGTGTACAGAATGCACCCAGACCAATCGGCGCGCTTTGTCTGGGCAACCGGCCCAACTAACCCACTAATCAGGCGCGCCACACACCTCTATCCTCTCCCACGCCAACACCGCCCCACCAGGCAGCGAGGCAATGCACACA